TTGCAAATTGACTAGCACTCTAATTTTGATTACAATGAAGACAATTGGGGTCAACTAACATCAGATGGAAGGTGTTATAGCTTTGTTTTTGAACACTGAGGTTTTCTATTAGCACAGAAAATCAAAATTATACTAAGCACCATTTAGTTTATTGTTTAAATAGAAAGCACGACAAATATTTAAGTATTATAGTTAAGAAATACATGGATAAATTTTTAATAGAAGCATCTATATTTAATCTCATGTGTTTATATTAAATGGAGCCATTTGAATGTGATATAGTTATCTTCCTTTGTGATTTTAAAGAGAAAAATGACAATTTTCTTTTTATGGGCTAACTTTTGTATAGTTTAGGGACACACCTGGCTGTGCTGAGGGATCACTCCTGGATGTGTATTAGGGGGACATATGGGGTATCAGGGATCAAAGGTCAGCTGCATTCAAGGCATTCCCCCTACCCACTATACTATCTCTCCAGTTCCACTTACTCACCAATTTTGAAGACAAACATTTTTTTCAACACCTCTGCCACCACCAAGACCAACATGTACTCACAGTTTAATGGTCTTATGTTCAGGTATGTCATTTTCTGGTTAACTATTTATTATCTGCCCCACATATAACCTAAAATCTATTTTCAGATCTATGCAGTCAGAGTCAAACTGTATTTCCACTCTCTCATGCTATTAGAATATTTTTATTAAAGTTAATTTCATAGTAGGTTGTTCATTAATTACAGCTTTGCATCCCTTTAGAAACTAGAACACAAAACAGACTTGTATATGTTTACTGTATTGAACTGAAGTTTCTACTATTGGAAATTGGGATGATAGTTTGGAATGAAAACACAAATATAAAAGTATATATAGAAGTTCCCAGAGCAAACCTGCTGTGTGCTTGTCCTGGGACATGAGTGGAAAAATATCATTTGCCTTTTATTTGCCAGTTGGATTTCACTAAAGATGCACATTTTATGACTACTTAGCTCACCACCCACCACTTGGACTCTTAGTCTACAAATGGGTTAAACATTAACCCTTGCCTTTACTCTGTTCTCTCAGGCTAGCTCTAAGTGATATATTGTCTCTTTGTCACATACCTGTCAACTTCAGTGTGGTCATAATCCTGCAATGCAACTTCCCCAAATGCAGAGCATTCTATTCAAAATCACATTTAATATAGACTGAATACAATATATGCTACACACACATATACATATATATTAAAATTATAACTGAGAATCAGAAACAGTCGTTTCCCATGAAAGTCATAAAAAAAGACAAAATTTTATAAAATTTCACATAAAGCTAAGACCTTTATTTTCCAGTGAACTATGTTAAAATAATTTTCTGTCACTGTCACCCCGTTGTTCATCGATTTGCTCAAGCGGGCCCAGTAACGTCTCATTGTGAGACTTGTTACTGTTTTTTGGCATATCGAATACATCACGGGTAACTTGCCAGGCTTTGCCGTGCGGGTGAGATACTCTCGGTAGCTTCCCGGGCTGGCCACTTGCAATACAAACGCCCTACCCGCTGTGCTATCGCTCCAGCCCACTTGAAGTGAAAACACTTAGGTACTGAATTGATTTTCTGATATTGCTGGTTTCTGCTCTCCTGAGCTTGGGTTTACTACCTTTATTTAATTTTTTTCCCCTAAAAGTCACATCACATCATGGATTTGTAAGAATAATTGCATTTTAATTATGATTATTATTGCTGGCCTAGAGATTTAAATCTTAAAATTCAGTTTGGAAGGAATATTTATGTCCTCTGCAAACCCATATTAGTCATGACTTAAGAGCTGCGGTTTTTCCCCAACAAAAAAATATTAGGCAATTTCACATCAGACATGCAGAATCCTAGTCACCAACAGCATGGAGCTCAGTGACTGTAGGGAGTACGGATGTAAATCAGAGGAGCAAATAGATTTTGACATTTAAAAAGGGAATGCACTGTAGGAATTTAATCAGCACATTTGCCAATACAACGTTCCCTTTGAAAAGAAGCTCTTTCAGAAATATTTCTTGAGTTGTCTATAATAATGCATTATTTAAAGAGATTGCACGGGTGAGGTTTTAGTAGAAGTGTAGAATTTTCTCCCTCTGTGACCTTCAATGAACTTTCTCTTTCTCTAATTTATCTTAAAGGTCCTGGAAGGATCTCAAGATAGTGTCTGCATAAGTTTCTTGGTTTCTTTGAAGAAACTCACTAGATAAAGGCTGCATTATCAAGGATCTAGTCACTGATTCTTAATAAGCTACTACTTATTACTCATCAAACTACAGTAATAAACTCAGTGACCATCAATTAAGAGGGCAGAGAATAGAACTCTGGGAAAGGGAACAAAAGGAAACAGAACCATTCAATATTTATTAATTTATCTGTTAAATATGTTCTAGGCACTGAAGTAGATGTTAGGGCATGTTAAGAGTGACAATGCAAATTTCATAACTTCATCTTTTCTAACAGCTACGTAGTACTCCATTGTGTAAATGTACCAAATGGAAAGTATCATGTTAAGCGAAATGAGTCAGAAAGAGCGGGATAGACACAGAAAGATTGCATTCTTCTGGGGAACATAAAGCAACAAAAAGGGAGACTAACACCCAGGAATGGCTGAGATTAGTACCAGGAATTTTGCTCCATGACTTGAAGGCCAGCCACACGTGCTAGGGGAAAAGGAAGCTCAGATAGAGAAGAGAGCACCAAATAAAGGGTGTTGTGAGGACCCTCCCAGGGTGGGAGAAGCATGCTAAAAGTAGTCTATAGACCAAACATGATTGCCACTCAATGCCTCTCTTGCAAAACACAGTACCCAAAAGAAGAGAGAGAGAACAAGGGGGAATACCCTGCCACAGAGGCAGGGTGGGACGGGGTGGGGGGGTAGGGATGGGGGGGATGCTGGGACCCGTGGTGGTGGATCATGGGCACTGGTGGAGGGATGGGTACTTGATCACTGTATAACTGAAACCCAAGCACAAAATTTGTAAGTCTATAACTGTACCTCATGGTGTTTCACTAATAAAAAAAGAAAAAAAAAGTGACAATGCTTTTGATTCTGGGAAAGCTCAGAGTCAGAAAAAACCCTGACTGATCAAAGACTCTACGTTTCCTTATATAAACAGATTACATAGATGAGATAATATAAGCATATAAAAAATCAACTTACTTGCCAGCAGAAATCTCTACAGAAAGCTTTATTAAATTGTTACTTAATTTTATGATTCTCATGAAGCATAAATTTTGAAAATTTGAGTGGGGACCTTTTTACTTATAGGTAAAAATATTAAAAATGGTGGCAAGGTAAATATAATGTTTGGCATAGCAGGTTTCTGCCTCCTGAAATCAAGTCCACTTTCAGGGTTTTTATAAAAAAACGTATTACATCAGGTTTGCTGTTAAAGACAATTAACGTGTATTAATGATTTGGCACAATACCTAGGAAGCCTTACTTTTTGAAAACCAAACACAAAAATGGAGAATTTTATTTTCCCCTGACAGAGTATAAAGACTAATTGTAGAATTTAGAACAGTTTGAGAAAGTTATTTTAGAATATTTTTATCTTTGCATCCCACGGACTCTCCAAAAGGTGTCTAGACAGTGAAAAATCAACACTAGGTTGTATTTTAAGGTCTATTTGCAAGTTGGTTATTTTATATCTGTCACATTTTCAGTTAAATAATTTTGTGTTAAGGTGTCTAATTTTCCAAATATCCACAAAAATGTCTAGGTACCTTTTAATACAAATGACCAATCATTTGTGAATACAGTATTTTGCCAGCTGTTACAGTTGCTATTTTGTCATTCCTAGACATCTGAGTTCTGAGAGAAGTTTTAACTGTGTGGTTTTGTTTTAATGTAAATAAAATTGACATATTGTTATTTTTTGTATAATATGAATGAACATTATATGATTTTAGAATTTGTGTTTAAGGTTATCTTTATTATTTTCTGGTGTTAAGTTATCTGGTTTAATGGTATTTGATGTCTACTGTATATAGTTAATATAGATAGTTAATTATATATATATATGTATTATGCTGGCTACTGTTTGATTGGTTTGAATTGGAAAAGTTCTCATAATCTTTTAAGCTTATGGGCCTTAGAGAGATAGCTCAATTGGCTAAAGCTCATGTTTTGCATACAGGAAGTCTGGGTTCATCCCTGACACAACATGATTTCCTTGAGAGAAATGTCAGGGGTTACAGATGTTGCCTGAGCACACAACCAGGTAAGATCATCATACAAAACAAAATTTCAGTTTCCAGAATTTTTTTTTTTTTGCTTTTTGGGTCACACCCAGCAATGCACAGGGGTTACTCCTGGTTCTGCACTCAGGAATTACTCCTGGCGGTGCTCAGGGGACCATATGGGATGCTGGGAATTGAACTCTGGTCGGCTGCGTGCAAGGCAAACGCCCTAAGGCTGAGCTATCACTCCAGTCCCCAGAATTTTTTTTTTAAGTCATAAAACATGACATCTATAGGACCACACAATTTTTCCTGTGACAATAATGAAGCTGAGCAACAGCTTTCATTGTAAGTTCTATTTCCCTCAAATATATTTTACACCTGTATTTTTATAGGCATAAAAATTTGCGTTTCCTTATCTAAAGCAACACATATATCCTAGGATAAAGTAGTAGGAGTTCTGAGAAGAGGGTCCATTCCTCTGCTAATATTGTTGGTAAAACAAATATTTGTGCTGTGACTGACTCCATTTTGGAGAATCGTCACCCCATTTTTCTTTTTGTAAGCATCCTCTGGCATATAGCTTAATATCTGAATCAACCTCCAGTAACTGATTTTTAAATGATGACTTCATACTTGGAGGCTTGCTGAATTTCTTGTGGATTCCTCTCTGTTCATTCCCGAACCTTTCACATAACACCTGCCTCATCCAGTGTATTTCCTTCCCTTTTATTATTTGTTATTCATTTTCACTTCATTCATTTTTAAAGATTATTCTAGTTATTCATCGCAAAGGGCAATACTTACCACTAACCATGCAAAGGTGAATTCAGATGAAATTTCTGAGGACATATTTTGAAAGCATGGTATTTCCAGAGTCCGATTTATCTCCGCTTCTATTGTGTGATTGCTTCTCTGCTCATCGTAGGTAACTGTGACAAAAGCATAAGTTGAAAAAGATGTGGATCTGTTACTGGTCTGTAAAGTACTATTTATTGAAGAAATGAGAAATGAGAACAATTTTTTTGTTTTGTTTTCTAGTTTTTGTTCGTTTGCTTTTGGATCACACTCAGCAATGGTCAGCGGTTACTCCTCACTCTGCACTCCGGAATCATTCCTGGTGATGCTCTGGGCGACCATTTGGGATAACTGGGATCCAACTGCAAGTGCCCTATCTGCTGACTCCAGAATAGTTTTATTTTTAATAGAAATAACTGCGCTATGACATTAGATATTGTCAGATACGTCTTCTATGAAATTGACTTGTTTGCTCTCTTGTCCAGACTTATCCTCTACCATTTCCCTTTATTTCTTGTAGCCACTAAGATTCTCCTATCTTGACACACCCATGAAGTGAAGAAGCAAAACCCCACTATAGTTTTTATCCTATGAATGCCAGAAAAGGAGAGGGCTGTTTATGCTAAAAAATTACAAAGCTGTCTTCATAGAATTCAGCTTTGATTTGGTATCTTCTTTGCTCTAATCCCAAATTGGTGTACTAGACTTCGATTCATACCTCCTAATCAGAATACAACTTTATACTAAACCCTCAAAAGTCTTTAATTGTTTTAGAAAAGTTTTAGGTTCATAGGGAATTGAGTGAGAAGTACAGAGAGTTATATCTCTTGCTCTATGTGCTCTTCTAATATAGCCAACCCAATGGTACACTTGCAGTAAATAATGAACTTATATTATTATATGAAAGTTATTTATACTTACATCTTGGTGTAAGAATTAATTCTAAGAATTAATAAAGCTATATAATGATAAGTATCACCACCCAATTATTATGCAGTGGAGTTTCACTGACCAGAAAATCCTCTGAACTGCTCTAATTTATCTTTTCCTTATGCCAAATTCCTGATATTCACTGATCTATTTTCTTTCTGTATGCCAACTTGCCATTGAGGCTTTATAAACATCCATTGACATTCACTCAAGGAAGAAATAGTACCAAAAATATACATTTAAAAAAACCCTCAGAGGAAATATTGCAAATTATTTTTATTTTTAAAATGACATAATATAAATATGTGTATAGATGCTCTTGGGGAAAGTTATATACACATACATACACATTTGTGACTAACGTATTAAGAGTATCAGATAATAATTTAGACATCAAAAAATTATGTTAAGCAATAACCTAGACATTTCCTTTTCTGCTTTTATATCTCTACAAATATTATTTGCATGCATGTGTTTTCCCATCCTTTGCCAGGTTATTTACCAACAAATGTTATATGTATAGGGCCTTTGCCTTGTGTGTGGCCATCCTGGCCGAGCCAGTTTCGATTCCTCCATCCCTCTCAGAGATCCCGGCAAGCTACGGAGAGTATCTCGCCTGCACGGCAAAGCCTGGCAAGCTACCCGTGATGTATTGGATATGCCAGACAGAGTAACAACAAGTCTCACAGTGGAGACATTACTGGGCCTGCTCGAGCAAATCGAAGAACAACGGGAGGACAGTGCTACAGTGCTGCAGTGTTTTTTGCCATCTACTCTGGGGCGCAGGGCTTACTCCTGGCTCAGTGCTCAGGGATCACTCCTTGGGCTCTGGGAACCATACAGCGCTCCAGGGATAAACTCAGGTTGGCTGTGTGTAAGGGAAGTATAATCACTATACTATTGGTCTGCTCCCTAAATGTTATATAAATATATATTTTGACAAGTTTTGTATGGTTCTTATAATATTTGTGCTTCAAATTCTTAGAGGATTTATGTGAGTATTCACATATACCATCACCATTGTTTATTTTTATAATTTTTCAATTATTATGTTCTTTTATTTGGAATTTTACTTTAAACAATTGTCACAATGGAGACGTTACTGGGCCCGCTCGAGCAAATCAATGAACAACAGGAGGACAGTGACAGTGACAATGACTTTAAACTATTATATTTTTTATGACAAAGGATATCCTTTGTCATAAAGAATATACTTATACTGATAGCTTCCTTCTGACCATTTATTTACTTAAGAAATAGTTTCAGAAGTATAATTAAGGGATTGTGAACTATTAATATTTTAATAATAAACAATAAATTTTTTAAAAATTTCTGTTTCTTTGCGTAAGAAGGTTATCTGTAGCTGTCAAAACTCTTATATTTTAATCTTTAATAAGTATCAGCTATCCTCTTCACTGCTAACTCCTTCCTTTTTTTCTTGATTGAAACCAGGCTTCCTATATCTTCCTTGAACCAAACCCAAAGAGTGATTGTTTATTTTCTTGTACCTGACCTTAATTCCTTAAGATCAGGAGGTGAGATCAGAATCTTCCTTATCTAGATAGAGGAGAATAAATACTACTCAAACCCTTATTAAAAATAACAAACAAACTTGGAATTTTATAATTAAAGGCTGATCATTTCCAAATAGAGTTTTCTATATATCAGATCACTATTTTTTTTGTTATACTTGAGTGACGGGCTGGAGCGATAGCACAGAGGGTAGGGCGTTTGCCTTGCAAGCGGCCAACATGGCAGACCCGAGTTCGATTCCTCCGCCCCTTTCCTCAGCCCGGCAAGTTACTGAGAGTATCTCGCCTGCATGACCAAGCCTGGCAAGCTACCCATGATGTATTCGATATGCCAAACACAGTAACAAGTCTCACAATGTTACTGGGCCCGCTCGAGCAAAAATCGATGAGCAATGGGAGGACAGTGACAGTGACTTGAGTGACATCATTACTACGGCTTAACTTTTTGATGAAGAGAGAAGCTAAGTATTTTTATAGATTTATTTAAAGCAAAATATCAATGTTTTTCCATTGTACACCCAGAAACAATATACAAGGAAACAGCAAATGTAATAATGTGAGGCATGTGTAAAAATCATATATTCAAGAGTCACAAAAATCTGAGGTTACTTAGGCTAGTTGTAGGCAAGAAAAACACATAATATGTAGGTCCTGGAAATGAGAAGTTCCTTAAATAATTCAAATTTCCCTATACATCCCATGATATACAACTGATGGAAATCAGAGAACCAATCATAAACAGCTTTCTAACTGTGTATCTTATGTAACTCAGTTTTTTAAAAAAGGGTACAAATCAAAAAATACAATACTGCAACTTTGGATTCACCCTTTCTTAGTCCAAATATGTTTATGCATAGGGGATGGAAGTCTAATAGAAATAAAGTAATTTGAGCACGACTTCTGCCAAATTCACCAGTGAACCATTTGGGGTTTTGCCATGCAGAAATAAGTTCTTAGAAGGAAAAATATAGACATAAGAATTACAATGGAAAGCTGTTCTATTCAGAAATAACAGTGGCCACATACTGAAAAGGAGATAGATCAACTTCATTTACATATGGGTAAGAGATTAAGTTTTTTTTTTAAATGAAACGGAATATCTTCTACAGAATCTAGAATCATTGCAGACTTTAAAAAAAGTTCTAGTTTTCAACCAAAAATTATGAGCCACAGTGGGAAACAGAAACATGCAATCCTTACTCAGGGAGAAAAACATATTTTTTATTTCTTAGACTGCCTCTATGTTGATCCTGATATTGAATTCAAAGCAAATATTATAAGAATGTTTAAAGAACAGGGGGAAACACAGTGACAATGACTCAATAACTAGGGATTTTTAGTGGAGAAATAGAAAATTATATAAAGGTCAATTGATTATTCTAAGTTAAGTGGTTAATAATATTTTTTTAGGTACTGGATATTCTCAAGAGCAAATCTGTTATGACAGAAATAAGAATAAGTGCATCTGAATATTAATCACTCTAATTCTCTAATATGAAAAATAAAGATAATCTAAAGAAAATGGGAGAATCAGAGCCATATAGGACAATGCATATATGTAAAGGAAGCTTTAGAAGGAGGGATAAAGAAAGAGAAAAATATTTAGAGAGAAATAGCCAAAAATACTGTATGTTTTTGATTTTTTAAAAACTTTCTTCAAGATTATTCATCGATCCAAGAGTCTTAAAACTCAAGAACAAAAAAAATTATGTGTCTTGAAAGGGGACCCCACATCTTATCATTCATGGAAGAATGCAGATGGATGCGGTGGAATTGGGGCAGTAGCATTGGATGCTGGATACTCGTGCCAACAACTTTTATAATCACTGTATTTACAGATAAAGATGAAAAATAAATAAATAAATTCACAAATTAGGGCACGGTTTTTTTTTCTTTTTGAAAAAGCAGGAGACACCAAATAGGTTTATTAGGTATATTTTAATAAAACTTCTAAAAAGCCTCAATAAGGGGGCTGGAGAGATTGTAAAATGGGTAGAGTCGACCTATCTTCTTACATCAAGACAAAGTAAATCTCTTATAATAATGAGAAGTATCTACCCACATAATTAACCCTGATAGAACTATTGTATATCTATCAATGATAGAATGTGGGTTTCCCTTTCCAAGCCCACCAACAAAGTGCTGAAAGTTTTCCACTTCCCTCCAACCTTTATGTCACCCACACTGACCTCTTTTGGTAACCACAGTTCCTTAAGTTTGAATTCAAGAGCCAGTCATGGATTGATTTTGGTTGTTGCTTTGTTATTTTTATAACCCATGTGTGAGATTATCTGGTATCTGCCTTTAAGAGAGTAATTTTTTTCTTGCTTTTTTCTTTGGGAGGAGGCACACCTGCCAATGCTCAGGGGTTTCTCCTGGATCTGTGCTCAGGAAAGACTCCTGGCAGTGCTGGGGGACCATATGGAATACCTGGGATTGAACCCGGGTCAGCAAGGCAAATGCCCGACCCGCTGTACTATGCCCCAGCTTCAAGAAAATAATTCTTAATGGCTATTATCACAAGAAAAATGTTATAACTGTGGGGTAATAGATGTTAATGTCGATCATTTTGTTACATACATAAAATTATCATTCTGTATACTAAAAAAGAACATGCTATTATATGCCAATTATATTTCAATAAACTAGGAAAAAGTAAAAAAATGACTTTA